TGTTATTAGAGTGCTGTTCTTTGTCTTTTACAGGGAAACCACATCAAAATACCAGCACAATTCATGTTACACTCCCGTCAAATCAAGACTTAACACCTACTCATTAACCCTCTGGGGACCAGAAACGCGCCGGCGCGTTTTGCTCGTTTTTTTTTCACATAGCAGAAAAATAGACTTAAAGTACTACCATCATTTCTGTTCATATAGAGTTAAGAAATATGAGAAAATAATCTGTTAAATGTCTACTTTTTTATGTGCCCACATACAATCGAAATAAAATATTGTGCTTTTGTAAAATAAAGAAAATAAACAGGGTGTGCGTTCTGCCTCTCGGGTGAACTTTTTTTCTGGAGCACGTCTCTAATCTTCAACACAACTCAGCTAATACTATTCACCCAGCCATAAGGAATATATCTTTTAAATCATTTGAGTTTGTACTTTTAAATGATCCGATTCAAAACTAAAATTATTATTCTCCGTTTATGTCATCTATATAAAAAGAGAGACGTATCAGCCCATCTCATTATCGTTCTCTCAGCTGATTATCTCTGGTAATGTGACACGCCCACAGAGAGCACGCGCTATTCAAAGGCAAATATGTGAAGCAACACATTGAGACGCGTTAACGCCCATAAACTCTGAAAACACACATTATTTTTTAGTCAGATTAATCTACTGTCGTCTTGCGCGGCTGTATGAGGAACAATCCTGGGACATTTACCACTGGGTTTATTTCGAGGATGAACAGATTCAGCTGAGAAGTAAGTGTTTTTTGCAAGTGCTTTGTTCTAATCGCGATATAGAATAACGTAGTGTCTGTAAACGGAAAAATAGCATACTGTTAAATGTGAATCATGTTTGTGTGTGTGTGTGTGTGTGTGTGTGTGTGAATGAATGAATGAATGAATGAACGCACAGATACGCACTGTTACAGACTAAATAACAGACAACATTTCGTTGACTCGTTTTGGATAAAGTTTTTACTCTAAAATAGACATCAAATAAGCTTTTTTTAGGAGTTTCTGCTCATATGTTAAATATATAGTATGTTTTGTCAATAAACTAATCAACTAAGATGTTATGGTGTTTGTTCAAGCTATATCAAAATAATGAATCCTCAACAATGTTTAATAACTCATGTTGATAAATAATAACCACAAAACGATGGATGATATAATTGTGAGTTATATAAGTAACATAATGCTTGTCAGTATGACGTTATATCTTGTGTTCATGCATGGTTCATGTATGAGGGGAGGAGTCAAATAGTTTGTGTATTATTTGCTATGATAATGTGGCATATGTAACGGAGCTAACGTAGTCATTTGTAATAGCGTTGCTGTTATTAGAGTGCTGTTCTTTGTCTTTTACAGGGAAACCACATCAAAATACCAGCACAATTCATGTTACACTCCCGTCAAATCAAGACTTAACACCTACTCATTAACCCTCTGGGGACCAGAAACGCGCCGGCGCGTTTTGCTCGTTTTTTTTTCACATAGCAGAAAAATAGACTTAAAGTACTACCATCATTTCTGTTCATATAGAGTTAAGAAATATGAGAAAATAATCTGTTAAATGTCTACTTTTTTATGTGCCCACATACAATCGAAATAAAATATTGTGCTTTGTAAAATAAAGAAAATAAACAGGGTGTGCGTTCTGCCTCTCGGGTGAACTTTTTTTCTGGAGCACGTCTCTAATCTTCAACACAACTCAGCTAATACTATTCACCCAGCCATAAGGAATATATCTTTTAAATCATTTGAGTTTGTACTTTTAAATGATCCGATTCAAAACTAAAATTATTATTCTCCGTTTATGTCATCTATATAAAAAGAGAGACGTATCAGCCCATCTCATTATCGTTCTCTCAGCTGATTATCTCTGGTAATGTGACACGCCCACAGAGAGCACGCGCTATTCAAACGCAAATATGTGAAGCAACACATTGAGACGCGTTAACGCCCATAAACTCTGAAAACACACATTATTTTTTAGTCAGATTAATCTACTGTCGTCTTGCGCGGCTGTATGAGGAACAATCCTGGGACATTTACCACTGGGTTTATTTCGAGGATGAACAGATTCAGCTGAGAAGTAAGTGTTTTTTGCAAGTGCTTTGTTCTAATCGCGATATAGAATAACGTAGTGTCTGTAAACGGAAAAATAGCATACTGTTAAATGTGAATCATGTTTGTGTGTGTGTGTGTGTGTGTGTGTGTGTGTGTGTGTGTGTGTGAATGAATGAATGAATGAATGAACGCACAGATACGCACTGTTACAGACTAAATAACAGACAACATTTCGTTGACTCGTTTTGGATAAAGTTTTTACTCTAAAATAGACATCAAATAAGCTTTTTTTAGGAGTTTCTGCTCATATGTTAAATATGTTTTGTCAATAAACTAATCAACTAAGATGTTATGGTGTTTGTTCAAGCTATATCAAAATAATGAATCCTCAACTTTGAAATATGTATGATCAAACTAAGACATTTATGGAGAAATTTTTTTCTTTTCAAGATGTTTCCAACTCTAACTTTGAACTTTGAACTGAAATAAAACCATGTCTATATGGTGAAGGGTGTGTGATAGAAGTGTCCAGACGTATGCACCCTGTATTTTCCTTATATAAATCCAAACAATCTAAAAGCCATTCTTTTTTAAATCTCCTCATTCTTTGTGCAAGGCTCCTGTAATGATATGGCCTGATAGCACCTAATAGGGCCATTATGGGAGGGTCTTTGTCTTTCTCAGGTGTGGAATGCCACACATATTAATGAGAGATCAAGCCTCCTGCATAAAGCTTTCTCAAACAAAACACGTCATTAAAAGTGTAAAAGACTTTATTGACTTATCTGAATGAGTAGTCAGGATGATTCTCACATAGTTTTGGAGCAAATATTCTAGGCTATGTGATACAATTTTCAAAAGTCTTGTGAAGAAATAATCAATATGTGTTTTGTGGTCTTATTTCAGCAACTTTCATTTTTATTTTTTTCAATAACCACGCATAAACATTATTCTATTAAAAATACAAACATGTACATACATGTTGCTCAGATCTCATGGTAGCCAAGTTTGTGCTATATAGAGTGAATTTACACCTTTGCCATTAACATGTTTATAAATAACTGAAAAAAGCACAAATGTCAGTGCATGTCAAAACATCCCAAGGGCCCCAAAAACACTCTGGTCCCCAGAGGGTTAAGCTAACAACATTACTTCATCTTTTCTTCCACCTGTGCCTTTTGTGCCCACATCCCAATTATTGATTGCTCGCTTGACATTCTTCCACACTTCGTAACAACTGTTAATTCCTCAGAATTCCGGAAACAACCTGCTTTTGCCAGAGAAGGCCCAGATAATTCACTGTCACCCATAAAGCCCAAAGGGCCTATTGCAGACCAAAGCCGCCTCCTCCGTCACTGGACGTTCAGTAGGGTGTATGTTAGTGGTTGACTCCCCCCTCTGATGTTCATCTTGATATCCTTGTCATAATAAACCAGTTCAAGTTGATCACTTGTATCTCTGTCGTGTTCTGACCGACACACCTAGTACACTGCTAAACACACCTGAAACCAGTCCTTATCATATATCAAGGTAGTCTTCACTACAGGTTCCCTGAGAAAGCATGTGTGAATTAACGCCACATTTATTGGTCGACGGCAGTCCGATGATGTCAAATGGAGCCTGACTGTGCGTTCACACCGGACGCGAATAGCGCGTCAAATTCGCGTCTACCGCGTCTAGTTTGACACTTGACCACTTTGTGTTAATTTGCGCGTCAAGAGTGAAACTGAAGTTTGAAGCGAAATTTACGCGCGTCGGATTCGAAACCTGTTGGCGGCCTTCTTTTTTATTTTGATCGAGCATTCATCGGGAGAGTCACCGCTCTGTATTTGCTCTGGAGAGCAGAACAGCGACGTAGGGATCATCGTCGCCGTATTTGTTTCCACCAGACCCTTCGGAGGCGAACCCAGTTTGGCGAGTTTTACCATTGCTCGCTCCAGGAGCTGCGCCTGGATGACGGCCGCTTTCAGCGATACTTCCGCCTGTCCCGCGCCCAGTTTGATGACCTGTTGTCCCGCATCGGAGCGAGGATCACCCTCGCCCTCACCCACCTAATATGTCATTTATTTTTGTGTTGATGATAAATGCAGCAGCAAGCAGCTAGGCTCCTGATTGGTTAACGCGGCGCGAATTGACGCCAAAGTTCAGATTTTTCAACTCGGTCGGCAGACGCGAATTCGATGCTAAGTCAGTTGATGCTATGGGAATGTTAATACCCACTGTACGCCATGCTGACCAAAGACTGCCTGTGCGCTGTGAAGTTCACCAAGCACAATATTGCCAGGCTTAAGCGCTGAATGACTCGATGGGCCTCGACCCAGAGAAACCTAAATGCGTCAGCAACCAATTAGGACCCATCCTGTGACACTACAGCCTTGTTCCCTAGAAAGCTCAGTATTATAGGCATTAGGAAAAAGCCCCATAGCCTCCATGCTTAACCGTTAATGAAACGGGGACTCCTGCATTAGACCAGTGCGAGCCACAGCTACATAGGGATAGGGAGTCGCTCTCAGCAATTCTACGTACTGTATAATCAATCCAGACCTGAACACAAGCCTAAGGGAGCTGCGATAACCCACTACATTATATCAGTCTGCTCTTATTTCTCACAGCCAACTGCTTAACACCTCCAGCTGTGCTGGAGGGAGGACAACCGAAGAGTGAAGGGGTCGCATCATCTCACCACAACCACTAGTGTTATTTTAGTATCATACTATTATATTTGTTTTTAATATGTATTATATCTGTTATATATATATATATATATAACAGATATAATACATATTAATAACAAATATAATAGTATGATACTAAAATAACACTAATTAGAACCCCACATCAGATAAAAAGTGCATACAATCTTCACTATTTATGTCTGAACTGGGTAGTCATATATCTTCAAGATATATTAAGATTATTTCTCACCCTGGGTTTCATTTGGTTTCTCAGTATTTTTCTCTTCATTCTCTGGAATGGAGGTCTGCTCTTGTTCTGCTGTGCTGTTGAGCTGCTCGAGCACAGCTTGAACGATAGGCACCATCATGGCTGTTGTGGCCGTGTTACTGATCCACATGGAGAGGAAGGCCGTTACTCCCATGAAGCCCAGCATCAGCCTGCAGAAAGGCAGAAGAGGTATTACTGAGACTGCTGTTTTAAATGAGCATATTCCCAGAAAATTTTAATTGCTTACAGAGCTGGTCGTACGCCCACGATGAGCAACACCCGGAGTGCGATTCTCTTGTGTAGGTTCCAGTGTTCAACAGCTACAGCCACCATCAGCCCACCTAGAAACAGCATGTTGGTGTCCTTTAGGTACTGCATACATACCTATCATACAGATATATAAAGTTTGAGTCACATACATAATGAAACAGCAAAAAAAAAAAAAAAAAAAAAAAAAAAAACATCTATATGAAGATCTTCATTCCTTTAGGATTAAGATTATAAAAGTATGATGAAGAAAAATAACGAGTAAAAATTAGTGATGTATAGTTAAAAAGAAAGATATACGTTAAGGTAGGAGACATTACTGAAGGTAAAGTCAGTTATGCTAATAGGATGGTTAATAGGACCTGAAACCTACATCTTTGGACTCCATGATTCTGAAGAGCGGAAAGAGCACAGCAGGCAGGAGAGCAGTGATAGCCAGTGGAAGCACCTCTGTACACCAGTACACTGCCATCAGTGCAACTACATAGGCACATCCAGCCTCCTGCAGATGAAAAACAGAACACAGCCAGGAGTATGAATATATGAAACATTCAAAAGTTTGGAGTAATTCCGTTTATATTAACACTGAAGACTGGATAAATGGCTGCTAAAAATTCAGCTTTGCCATCACAGGAATAAATAACTTTTTAAAACATATTAAAATAGAAAAAAAGTAGTTTTAAATTGTTATAATATTTTGCAATATTACTGTTTTACTGTGTTTTAGATAACATAAATGCAGCCTTGGTGAGCAAGCATACAGTAGTGCACTGTAAAAAAAAATGCCAGGAATTTACAGGATTAAAAAGTATTATTTTACAATAAATTACTGTAGTCAGAAATTTACAGTTAAATGAATCATGCTGGGTAATTTTCTTATTAATTAGTGTTAATCAACAGCAAAATGATGCTGACATCACAGTAATTTACTGCTTTTGTTTTACTGTGAATTCACATTATAAAGTTGTCTTTAACCATGCCACTGTAAGAAATTATATTGCTTAGTGCTGTAATTGTTTTGAAGTCACCATAATGGTGATTAGTGTTCCATTTGCTTTGGATCTTGGACCTTGTAAATTCAGATTCAGATTTCTAGCCAAGTCAGAAGTGTGACAAATGAAAACATTTGTTAAAACAATGGCAAGCTAGAATATAAAATAAGCTAATTGCCTGTTTTTAGGTTAGTCAAATTATACTATTATTAACATTATTTCAGCATAATAATTTATCAATATCTTACTTCAAATTCATTATTGTTTGTAGATGGATATATTTCAATAGTAAAGCAGCTGCTGAGATTTAGGCTATCTTTGAAAGGTGTGACATTATCTTGCAACACAATTTTTTTTTCTTCCATCACAATGATGCACAGACATCAATACTCGACAAACAAAACACAACAATGGTAACACTCAACAATTAATAATAACATTACAAAATAAACAAACACAAACTGTTAAAAGTTAACCAAAAATAAGTTAAACAGATAAAACCAACAAGAATCAAGAAACTCCACCGCATAATCTATTCATGCCGCACTGCATGCTGGGTACCTTCATAGTACATATACACTGTAGAAATACAGTATGATATTGTAGATTTTATAGTGCAGTTAGATTAAGAGAAGTCCTACTGTGGATTACTGTGAAAGTAATTATTAACCTCCCTGGTATAAAAAAAAAAAAATTTGAAGTATACTTGCAGCCAGACTAATTTAGTAAACTTCAAGTGTGTTAATGATTAGTTAACTTGAAGTGTGCTATTTTAAAACAACTAATTTTGAACTAAGTATATTTTAGTTGTAATTAAATTACAACCTTGATGTTGATATTTAACAAATAAAGCATAACATTAAGCATAATGTTAAGCATAACCATAAAGCATAACTTATTATACTTAGTAATTACTTAGTATACTTTAAGTATATGCCTGAGACTAAATATCTGCTTGATTAGTGATATTAAAGTGTACTCTATTTGTGTTACAAGTACATTACAAATTAAATACGAATGTCTTCGAAACATACAAGCAATATACCATAAGTGTATTTATATATATATATATATATATATATATATATACATTTTTTTTTTTAAGATTTCATTTTGGCGTTTTTGCCTTTTTATTAGGATAGGACAGTAGATAGACAGGAAGAGAGAGAGGAGAAGGGATCGGGAAAGGTCCACGAGCCAGGACTCAAACTCGGGTCTCCCAGAGCACAACGGCGCTAAATGTCGGCACACTTGCCCACGAGGCTATCGACGCCTATAAGTGTGTTATATTTGAGAAATGCTCAGTAATACTCAGTATACCTTTGGCTTATTCCAAATACTGCAAATTGTCTACTCTGTCTTCAATAACAAAATGCACATTAATTAACAAATAATACTTAGCTATACTTCGTACTAAATACTATTGTATACTATGTATTTTGAAAGTATACTTTCAATGCATTGTTACAATTATCATTTCCAGCACACAGTTAAAATATACCTAAAATATATTTTTAATAAAGTGCAAATAAATACACTTTTAAAAAACAAACTGAATTTTTACCTCAAGTATAAAATATATGTTTATAAAATATACTAAAGTGCAATTATTTTAAAGTGTGTTAAAAGTTGTATTGTGAAGTAAAAGCATGATGCTAATATACTTTTAATATATTTAACGATAGTACAATTTTTGTTAGTATATTTGTAACTAACATTTTTCTATTGAAATTCCTTTTTTTAATTCCCTTTTTCTATTGAAAAAGGGAATATATTTCAAATACAATAAAGTATACTTTTTTTCACTAGGGCTGGAATATACTGTAATTTCACACAAAAAAATGTAACAGTGTGGCCAAAAGTGATGTCTGGAGGGGATATTTGGTTTAATGACCCTACAAGTTTGAATAAACCATCAAAATATGAGGGAAATATTTTATATATAAGTGAAGAACACAACAATAAACTTGGTTAAGGTACTTGTCTAACAAAATTATTTACCGATAAAAAGGCAAACTACAGCTATGTTTTTGCGTTTGTTCATAATTTCTTTGTATTAAAGCCTGGCCTAAAATTATGTCCCCACAATTTGGCATGTTTCACTCCATTATTACAAATAAAACAATTGACTCCAAGTGCAACTACAAAATATGCTTACAAAATCTTTAACAATTTTGTATTAATATTTGAATAATCGGTGAATATGCCAATTTACATAAAGGCTGGACATCACTTTTAGCCTGTATATCTAACAGTTTATATTCATATTTGAAGGGAGTACCTCGCAATTGGATCATTATATTTGGGTGTCCTTAATATGAAAAACAAACACATCTGGAATAAGGAACTTATCCAAACACTGTTAAACTTTTCATCAAGGTAATACAAAATTGTAATGTGCAACTGTCGGCATTGTTTTATGGATTTCTACATGTAGCCTACTTGGATGCTATATGCTTTGACTTAAGAAGGGCCTGAGGTGCAAAGTTCCTTTCATTACTCAGTCACTCAGAAACACTCTACTGCAAAAAGATCTGATAACAATCAGACAAGTGTCAAAATAATGCTATAAAGACCTTAACATATTACACATGATCTAATTATGAAACATTGCTACTGAGATGAGACTACATTGTGACATAGGCTGTTGTGATTAGGCTATATGACCTGCATGCTGTTGCTGAATGATAACTTTTTTACTTTTTTTAACATTTTGTTACTGTTGGTGCTGTTTTTAATTAAGTGATTGTGTGAAAATAATCATGTTTATAAAGTAACTAAATAAGGTTGGTCTACCATTTTTTTTTTCTAAACTAAAAAGTGAACATGTGCAGTTGTTGCTGTAAGGAGGTATTTCTACCTATACATTTGAATTGTGTGGTTGTAACCTAATTCAATCAGGTTTATAACGTTAAAACAAGGGAATGCTGTTTTAATTTAATTGAGTTACATTGACCCAATGTTCAATTTCCAATAAAGCTCCGGAAGGACACATTCGACACATGCGCACTACGACTGAACACCAGACCTAGTATATAGTCGTGGCAGCTACAGGACATCTGCTCTGAAGGACAAAGAAGAAGAAAAGGTTTGTGTTTGGCTGCTCCTTGCTGACCGGCGAATTTTGCTTCAATGAGAAATTGTGATTTGGGGTTATTATACACATTATGTTGCATCAAAGTGAAAATCACAATTGAGATTATAAAACAAACATACTTCAAGTAAATTGTTCAATTTAATGAATTAAAATTAGCTAAAGTAACACCATTTAACATTTTGTCACAACTTAATTTAAATGTGTTCAATCCACGTAATCTATTTTACTTCATTAATTTGTGTTAAAACTACATGAATAATTTTTGTTGACACAACTAACTGGGCTTCGTTTCCCAAAAGCATATAAGCCTAAGTAGAGCTTAGCTCATGGTGCTTTTGAGAAATGCAGCCCTGGCAGTGGATCTGTAGTTCCCAGCAAGCTTTGGAAAAGGACTGCATTAGGAGAATAAATTTAGGGATTAAGTGTTATTTTATGTGTTTTTCAGTAAAGGGAAAGATGTTTCCCTTTAAGTTTATGTTAATGTTTAATGTTCAGTAATGTTGGACATTTAAATGAGTTTCTAATAGGCCTATTGAATGTTGTGGTTACCATTGTGCTGAAGAGTAGCCTAGCGTATGTGTTTAGGCTAGGCACTCAAGTCTTTAACACTTATTATATATGACACCTGTCCATGCTTAGTGGATCCATTTAAATTGTGTGTATTATAATAATTGATAGTACATATTTGATATTTAAGCCTATATGTAAATTAAAGGGGTAGTTGATTATGATTTATTTTCTAACTAGTTAGTGTGTAATGTTGCTGTTTAATGTTAGTGTGTAATGTTGCATCCATTAACAACATCTGCAAAGTTACAATGCTCAAAGTTCAAAGCAAAGGGAGATATTTTCTTTTAAAGAAATTGCTTTTTAAGGACTACAACAAACGGCTGGTAGGGACCACACGAGCTTCCTCCCGGGTAAAGGCGGGCATACACTGTGCGATGTCTGTGTGATTTCAGCAAGGTTACCTACTCGCACTGAACAAGTAGATCGCATGCGATGTAAAGCCAAAGCTCAGGATTTACGTGCTCACACTATATGGTCCGAACGTCGAGCTGCGACTTGACTACTCACACTAGGCTTAGGCTATTATAATTAATTTGCCACGCAATAATTTCATAGCACATCACAGCATAACCAACGCGCTGTGAGGATAATAAAAGATTACATAGAAGCTGCTCCTCATTGACAATTATCTAAAACATTTAGGTCGATTACAATGAATTATAGGCATATAATTCAAATTATCAACCGTCTATAATATGTCCGAACACTGCAATAATTAGTCATCAATGAAAATTAAAAACAGCTTTGTAAAATGTCTACTCAGACGGAATACTTTATAAACTGAACTCTGTTTATTAGCTTGCTTATAGAGCTGGTAAGTCCCGCCCCTTCCGCTTACCCCGCTGGACCTCTAGGTTAAAAAATCGTCAATGCAAGTGAATGAGAGAAATTAATTATTTTCTAATCCCTTTTGAATTTTGCAATGAATGTGAACATATGTTGTCTGTTAATTTTTTATATAATTTTTAGTGTAAAGAATGCTACAATTTAGCGGGTAGAATTTTCATGCGGTTAGACTTTGTGTGAGAGCACTTTGTGGACTACAACTCTTCGCTGCTTTCGACGCTTTTGATATACGTCACCACCACTAGCACACGGATCCCGCTAAACATGCCTGTGTCTTTGGTCCACTTCATGGTGAGATTTGGGTACAAAACACACAGGCATCTCGATCTAATTCCTTAGATTATCGCACCGTGATTTGTGGAGGGAAAATGTGTTATGCGGTGACGTCACATATGCGACGTGAAGTCTTTCTCGTTATGTTTATTCCACAACTGCTAGCCAAAGAATCATACAATATACTGTCAAACTCGTTACATGAGAAATTATATAAAAAATTCACAGACAACATATGTTCACATTCATGGCACAATTCAAACGGGATCAGAAAATAATTATTTTCTCTCATTCACTTGCATTGACGCTTTTTCAACCTAGAGGTCCACTTGGAGTTTTACGTATGGGCGGGGGACTTACCAGCTCTATACAGCTCCCAGTCACCAGTATCCTAGCCTGGTCTCCGTCTCCCGCCACCTTCTGCGCATGCGCCGTATGGTAACCAGTATGGTGGCTACAGAGGCACATTCAACTACAAGCGAGCATTGGGTGAATGCTCTACAAGCTTCATTTCAAAAACATTGTTTCAAATTAATAAAAGAGGCACGGTGTAGATACATCGCAGGTGGCTAGGAAGACGTGGGTAATATATGGTTAATTCATTTTGCAACACGAACTGGAGGTAAGCAACAGTAATTTGTAGCTAGTTTGAGCTACAGAACTTAAAGATCTCCCTCTTTTCGTTTTCTTTCTTGCTGCAAATGAAATGGTTAAACTTCTGTTTTCGCGCAGGCGCGGTGAGGGAAAAAAACACTGAGTTTAGGGCAATTGGTTCGTAGCTTTGCTTCAACTGTGCGATATAGTCAAGACTCACGAGGAGCGACCAAAATTTCTAACATGCCAGAAATTCATCCAAACATCCGATTGCCGGTCTGGAGAGGCTAATCGCCTCTCGTTTCTCCCTGTACACTGCACGACAAACGACGCACGACAAAGCTGAAAATCGGCCCGACCCCGTAAAAGAGTCGCATGAGTCAGAAAATCTCACAGTGTGGGCTATGCCCGCCTTTAGTGACATCACGAACCCTAAAATGTACATAAACCCCGCCCCCAGGAACGTGATTTATTATCATGACAGAATATGCTAATCAATGACTAGAAGATAACTACAAATAAGCTACATAAATTCATCAACTAACCATTCAGAAATGTCCTGTTGCATTCTACTTGTTGTCACTTCTTCTTACACGAACCCGGCAAGAGCATGTCAAACCTGTAGGTGGTAGTGTAACGAGAGGCTCAAGCCCACGTTAGCCAATCGAACGAATCAATTTGCAAGGTCGCACTTTTTACGCAGGTGCAAGTTCTGTCACGTTACGTCGGCTGCCTAAAACTCAGTTTTCTCAGTTTAGGCCTACATGCAAACGTGCAAACGAAGTTTTCCAAAATCTCGACTCTGGCCGGAGTTTTTAGAAAGAATAGTTTTCAGAGGCGAATTCTCCGTTTGCGTGTTAACGAAGGGCACTAACGAAGGGCACATCTGTTCATCATTGTCCGACTCCGGTTTGAACATAAAAGGCTACAAGTTTTTAAAATTTTCAGTTCATGTCTGTGTGAGTTAAAGGAGAACTCCGGTGCAAAATGAACCTCGGGTGTAATAACAGACAGACTAGAAGTACAGACTAAATCGTTCCCTGAGATTTGTTTTCATGATAATCGAATGTAAAGAGTTTTATCTCTAAAAACAGTTTAGCTTATAACGCTAGTATATTGGCATAGAGTAAGCAAAAAGAGATCGCTAGTTAATACCACTAACAAGGCTCAAATTAGCCCCACACTAACACGGCAGCATAATGAGGGTCCTTACATGCAAACCGAAGCATTGAGAACTTTGTAAGTGTACAGACAGTTTAATAAGAAGATACTTTACACAGACAGTACAGTTAGCGCATACAGACAGGAGCCATCTTGGAAAACAGTCTCGACCAATCGAACCACGAGGGTGAGCGAACAGTACGTGTAGATATTGAAGATAAGATAAATTATATTTATTTTTTTATTTTCTCTGTTGCGTTAAGTGCTTCTCTTATGCGCTCAGTGCTTTCTTCCGGAAACAACGGACCATATGAGATTCCAAGTCACAGTTCAGCTCACGTATCACCGTGTTCGTGGTTTGACTGATCGAGACTGTTTTCCAAGATGGCTCCTGTCTGTATGCGCTAACTGTACTGTCTGTGTAAAGTATCTTCTTATTAAACTCTCTGTACACTTACAAAGTTCTCAATGCTTCGGTTTGCATGTACGGACCCTCATTATGCTGCCGTGTTAGTGTGGGGCTAATTTGAGCCTTGTTAGTGGTATTAAAGGGTAACTAAACCCCTGGTCAGAGCCTGACTCCACCCACTGGCAATATTTGAAAAATGCTGGAAAAGTGGGCAGAGCCCAGCGGAGATAGAGGGGACGAACTGAGACCGCAGTGAGGGATTGATTGACAGCTGCTGTCAAACTCGCAAGACGGCAAATTGTATTTGAATGAAACGAGAGAGCGCGTCCGTTGTGATGCATGGATTTGCACTGTGTTTATAATGCGTTGCTATTGACGACGGTCAGAAGGAAATGCCACAGAATAGAATCTTGCCTTAAAAAGTGCATAGAGCTGCTTGTTTTCTTTGTTGTTTGTTGATTTTCAAATATAAAACTATCCTGGGGTGCGTTTCCCGAAAGCATCGTTAGCCAACTATGGTCGCAAATTCCGTCGTTACCAATAGAGTTCAATGGGATTTGCGACCAACTTGCGACCATAGTTGGCTAACGATGCTTTCGGGAAATGCACCCCTGATCGTTTTCATTACTCGTAATTCCAACTCCTGACTCGCTACAGTAGTTTTGACGGAACCAGATGCTTTTATACCAGGGGCTGCCAAGGGCGTGGTGAGCTCGCACCAAGGGCGTGACAGAGTTACGTCAGAGAGTATCCTACGTCAGAGAGTACCCCTACTGCAGGAGCTTTCCGTTTAACCTGAAGAGGGCAGCACTCATACGTTTTTACACCATATATTTGAAAATTAAAATACTTTATACCCAAATGTCAAAAAATGTACTCGAATCAAAGAACAGCATTTATGAAGCTCCATTCTTACAGTTCATTAACTAAAAAAAGTTGTTTCAGTGTTTAGTTACCCTTTAACTAGCGATTTCCTTTTGCTTACTCTATGCCAATATACTAGCGTTATAAGCTAAACTGTTTTTAGAGATAAAACTCTTTACATTCGATTATCATGAAAACAAATCGCAGGGAACGATTTAGTCTGTACCAATGTGTTATTACACCCGAGGTTCATTTTGCGCTGGAGTTCTCCTTTAAAAGGACACAAGCTCCGCCCTCTGTTCCGGGAGCATCATCTCATTTGCATTTAAAGGGACAGACACACACACACACAAGAAAACGGTTCGTTTTTGCTCACCCTCAAAAAGTGACAATTTTAACATGCTATATAAAAATATCTGTGAGGTATTGTGAGCTAAAACTTCACATACACACTCTGGGGACACCAAAGACTTATTTTACATCTTTTGAAAAGGGCATTATACCACCCCTTTAAATTAAAAACTAAGTTGGACCAACATATATATATTTTTTATTGACTAACATAATGAAGCTAAATATGCTAGTATAAGTTAATTTGACCTTAACCAACTAAATTGTGTTGACCCAACTAAACTGATTTATTTTGAATGAACTAAATTAAATTGTGTGGAAAAAAATGTATTCAGTTAAATTAACTAAGGGTAATTCATTATTTTTTTAGTGTATTTACATCAAGGTGGATCATCATATAAAACAAAAAAAGATGATATCAAACTTTGTTTTTTTCAGGTTGGTTGAATTCAGTTATAATAATCTTAAATCATGTAGGCCTATTTCATTTCAACAAGACCAGTTATTGTAGATGTTATCACATAAAGTCTACATTTTCTAAGTAGACCTGTCAAAAAAATTTTAGTGAGACGTTCTTATAATGATTTGTTAGTACAAAAAAAAACTTTTGACAGTAAAGGGTTAAGACAAATATAGGGCATTGTGTGTTTGTGGTGAAGGAATGTGTCGCCCCCAGTGTTATGCATGGTCTCGTACCCTTGCTCGCAAGGCACAGAGAAATCCGACTGAAAGAACCTCGAAAGATGCGTAAAAAGTCCAACTCAGGGTCTTTCTCGACTCTCTTTCGCATGTTTTAGACACGCTTGACTGTCAAATCAAATCACTCACTGGCCAGTGAGAACGACACAGCATTTATATTTATGGATCTTCAGCTTTTCAGTTAATCACATTTTTGCCTATTTAAAACTACATGCATCATACAATTAGCCTCACCTTTGTTCCAATGACAAGTGGCAAAGGAAGGAGAAGGAATGGGGTGCAAAAGAGAATCAGTCCATTTTTCATCCTCCATATAAGGTTCAGAATATGTGAAGCCATCATTAGGCCTGTGGGTTTAGGATAACTTAACAAAGAAAAGTCCAAACGGGAGGAAAGTAGGCAAAACTTCTGTGTACTGATCTGTGGACAGTGCAGGGGATCGCGCGCGCTCTCTCTCTTTCTCTCTGTCTTTCTCATTCACACACACGCGCGCACACACACACACACACACACACACACACACACACACACTGGAGCGCATAATTATGCGCGTGCGAGGTTTGTACCGGTCCTCAATTCTTAAATATTAACCTATGAATTTCATCACCAAAGTTTCGTCAACATACCTTACTTGTCAGAGTCAATCAATCGCATGCAGGTCTGGTTTATTCAATATACCTGACAAACGATTTAGAGAGGAATCTTATGTCTTGGTCAGTCATCCAAATTACACATTAAAAATATAGCTATTTTCTGTCTTCTCAACAGATTCATGTAGGACCCTCAGGGACCAGGCTCTAAACAGCAGATAGATATATGCTCTTAAGTGCTTCTTCTTCTATCTTTAACATCTCCTTTACTTTTCACAAATCCCAAAATTCATGATTGATATTTCTCACAAAGTAAGCGAACACAGCCCGAATGAACTAGGAAAGTGAGATTGGATGGGGGAGCACAAGAAGAAGCTCTTATCTGAATAGAGTTGAATGACAGGGAGATAAACAGAGCTGCCTTTGCTGAAACTCTACACAGAACCAGCAGGGAGTCAGACTCACAGACCTGCTGAGATACTGACAATAGTTCTCTGTGAGAGGGAAAGGATGAGGTTTCCTCAAGTCAGTGACTTGTGGGAAATCCTGATGAACCCAAGTTTTGTGTTTCAGGTGAACTTTTTGCTGCTGCTAGGCTGTAAAAACAATAAAATAAAGTGAAACATCAATAACAAGACTGATCAACAGTCATAAAGGGATTTCTTATTTATGATACAGCCAAATTATGTAATAAAAGAAAGTTAAAAGTGGTGGATCAAACTCGACTTTGGACAGTTTTAATGTATTCCCCAATGGTCACAAATGCATACAAGAACATCTTCATGTTTTATAGATTTACAGCATGGAATTGTGAAATATTTAACAGACAAAACAAAGACAATACAAAGTACACAATAATGTCAAAGGAACACTAAACCAAATCCAAGTCTCGTTTGGGATAGTGACAGCTTGGTGGAACAATCTATTGGTCATTCTTCTTGTCAGTATTTTTCATCTGGTCTATAACTGGAACTTGTATAGTGTATAATGTTTTTTATACTCCTATTCAGTTCTAATTGGACTCAAATTAATTAATTCAGAATATAGAATTGTATCTAAAACTGGAATTTGAAGTATTGGAATTAAATTGAACTAACAATTACAACTGAATATGTACCCAAAAAAGTATAAGTTTTAAAGTAGAAAAAGACCCAGCTGACAAAAATATGTTCTAAGAACGTTTTGCTAATGTTACCATGAAGAAAATGTTAAATTTCTCTAAATGTTAAAATTTTTAAATGTAATATATATATATATATATATATATATATATATATATATATATATATATATATATATATATATATATAGGTTATGCAAACGTTAAGGGAACACTCCATCTTATCATTTCGCAAATGTAATTTGAACATTACTTTTGAATGTTCTCTGAACATTCTCAAAGAAGCATTAACAATTTTAAAAAACGTTAGGCGAACATCCAACTAAATGTTTCAGGTAAAAATCTTCCATAAACGATTTTTGAGAACTTTTTGAAAACATTCTTAAAGACCAGATAACTTTGAACAAAAAAATAGTTGACGTTACTGTAAGTAAATTAGTTTATAACTTTGAGAGAACCTTTCCACAAAGTTCTGAGAAAGTTCCCTGTTAGTGTCCACACACCATCCACTCAGCCTTCAGCACCAGATCCGCCCACTCGTTCATCATCACCGGAATTCTAATCACCTGCACCTGTTCACCCTCATCAGCCTCACCATATCAAGCCTGCACTCCCTCCAGTTCACTATCTGGTCTTGTCACACGTTACACAGACTCTTCCTGCTCTCACCAGAGATTCCCAGCATTCCCGTACCTGATCTTCGTCTTCATCCTCATCTTCTTCAGTAGTCTGAAGTCTGCAGTCTTCGGATCCTCATAACCTCCCTGTGTCTTCGTTTCTCGATCTACATCATCCTCAACCTCACTTCCTTCATCTTCATTTGCGTTACAGTCAGCTAAGTCCTACGTGTCATCTACAATCCTTCACCTGTTGTGTTCTGTTTTGCTCCCACTCTGTCAATAAACTCTTGATAATAAAAAAAATATTTTACATCCACCATCTGTTCCCTTCTGTGTCATGGCAGTTAGCTAGGAGAGTTTGAAGGTTTTACAGAATTTATTGCAGGCCCGGTTCTATAATTACATTAATCTTGCAATAATTTATCAGATTTTTATTTAAATCATGATTCATAAGTTATTGATTGAATTCAAAAGCAATTTTTGCAAATTCAGAATGATTCAATACAACGCATTTAACAGATTTTTAAAATACTTTCTCATAATGTGTCTGAGCAAGAAAAAGAAACTACTAGTACGATGCGTCGACAGGCCGTGGTGGAATGTTGGGTTCAGAGGTTGGAGGCGGAGCCAGGGGATCCTCTGGTTTAGGCGGAGATGGTGGCCTGAAGCACCGAAGCGGATCCACACACTTCAATGCAGGAGATGAAGAGGGGCAGAAGGTTACCAGAGGAGGCGGGGCTGAGGAACTGGCAGTTTGAGGAGGCAGGATCACAGGAGATACAGGGCTGGACGGAACCAGCGGGGTAACAGGCAGTTAGGGGCTGGATAGAACCAGCGGGGAAACAGGCAGGTCAGGGCTGGACGGAACCAGCGGGGGAAACAGAAGAGTCAGGAGAAACAGGTGAATTACCTCCTCAAACAATAGTCCAAAAAATGTTCCAGCAACCATAGTTATCCCGTCCACCACGGTGAGGTTGTGGGCGGGCCTTTCCTCTAAGCTCTCAAACTCCACTAACACTCCCTCGGCAGCACACAATGTAGCGGGCTCACGCACCTGGTCAGATACACCTTGTGGATCAGGCTCTGGGGCGATGACTCCTTCCGTCCTGTCTTCAGGCTCGGGCTCGTCAATCGTGGCAGGCTGAAGTCCACGGTTTGCAGTGTGCTCTCGTGTCTCCACTGTGCTGGTCGTCGGTACAGATGGCTGGTCTCTGGAAGTAGAGTGGGGCTGGTGTGGTCCACTGCCAGGCTGATGGTGAACGGAGAGGCGTTGTTCAGCACCAGCACCCACTCCACGAATGCGGTGAAGTCATCCCTCGGACCGCCCGCTGGAATGCGTGCTTTGGACCGCATGCTAATGCTGGCGTGGCGGTCTCCCTGCTCCAAGCAGAGAAGCTGGACGGCGGGTAGGTTACAATATAACGAGCAGGTGTGATGACTCAAATGAGTGTCCATGACAACTGATGACTGGCAGGAAACTAGGAACAAGAGTGTTGGATCCAGGGTGGTACTGACGGCAGATGAGATTTCAGAGCGATTCAGAGAGATTTTCAGGAGACGGCCATGAGGGAGACGATCCACAGCGATATTGATAGAGGGAGGAGCCAATGTGGTAATTTGAGCCTGACCGACTGAGGTGATGGCAGGGAGATGGTGAGGCCCAGGCGCCGTCCAATGGACCGAGAGACCCAGCGACCTCACTGGACCTGGAGAACAAGGCGGAGTACCAGCAATGAGAGGCCGAGGTGAAGCTAGTGGGCCGTAGGACTGAGGCGATGCCGGTGTGAGTGAGGACCGCGGTGCAGCCTGAGAGATGGAGGAGCCAGATGGAGCCGTAGAAGTGGAGGGATGGAGCGCCCCCGGAAGTGTGTGGCGATGGTGGAGCAACAACTGACCAGGGCGTAGCCGGTGGGACGAAGGAGCCTGGTGGAGCTGAAGGGATGACAGACCCAGGTGGAGCCGAGGTGGCGAGGAGCCAGAGCGGAGCCAACTGGTCGACGATCCGAGGTGGAGCTGAGGGCTCAGAGGGACGCGGTGAAGCCATGGAATCATCATGCCATGTCGGAGCTGGTGACTGAGAACCCCAAGATGGATCCGGGTTGCATGGCGGAGCCGAATGGCTGAAGGAATCCAGCAAAGGTGGGGCAGAGGGAATGGCTGGCTACAGTGGAGCGAACAGGAGAGGAAGGTTGGGTGTGAGACAGACTTAGGGATAGACAGGGATGTTGGCGACAAAGACAACACTGTGCTGGACAGAACCAGTGGTGATAAAGAGACGTTAGTGCAGGAGCGGACCAGTGACAGAGAAGGTTCGTGGGTGGGCTGGGTGGGCAGGGTGGGAAGAACTACCGCCATATTCCAGTCTATTAGCCATTCTTCCTCTTCCAGCTCCACTAAAACTCCCAAAGGCAGGAATGAAATGGCCGGCTCACACACTTAAGACGGGACCCTCAGGCATGTCTTTACGAGTCGGACTTTGCAGCTGGCACTGACTCCGTTACAGGCTTAGACCCAGGCATGATGTCCGTCCCAGGTAATGTCTGGGTCTCTCAGTCTGAGGTAGGCTCTTGTTCCTTATCCGCTGTGGGCATGGTCTCTTTGTCTGTCTCTGGGGTGGTGATGGATGGTACGTGGGGCTGGACGCTGCTGGCGGGATCCTCTTCTACCTCGCCTACAGTAAAAAAAATATCCGTAGACCCAGAGGGTAAAGTTAATTCGGTCAGCGTCCAGCAGGAATTTCCCCCTGCATCACCAGCCAGATCTCATCGTCCAGTCTGATACCAAACCCCTCCATGAGCACGATGACATTGCAATGGGCAAGGAGGCAGTATTCTGTAAAGTTGTAAGTCTAAAGATGAAGAGGAGAGGCAGAGAAAATCAAATATAAGTCCTTATTTAAATAAAGTAAAACAAAGTAAACTCAGGTAATCCAATGGGAAGAGACAGTAATGAGACTGCGTGTAGAACACAACACACAAACAATATACCAGACACCTGAAAGGACATCCTATTTAAGTTCCTCTTTGTGCTCCTTTCCAGCCCGTTCTCATCCTTTGGCGTCATATAGGTGACGCCATATGACATTTTAACGAAATGTCCAAAGCGTCACATGTATGACGCCA